GCTGCAAGGGCCAGCTTTATCCTGGACTCTGCTCCATACATTTGTTTTACTTGCAATTTCAGGGAAGTGCAGAAAGGCAGGAAACCGTAACAGGTGTTCCCTGTACTGTTGATGGCCTATTACTAACCCACTTCTGCACCCATCTATTGGCGATACTGTGGAAATTGGCTACCAAAGTAATGAGTTTGTTTTAAAACTAGTTGTTCTGCCTGTAAAGTGTTGGGTTTAGATAGTGATTGCTACAGAGAAAAAGCTGAAGATTCCTTTACTGGTAGGTCTTGTTCTCTGGTCACAAACTTTGACTCTTACGAAAAGAACTCCTCTGCTAGCTGGGGTTAACAGAAATCAAGACTTCAGATCAAGGGTCCTGAAGCCCGATGGGTTGTTTTTGGCAGAGTTCTTCAGCAAGCCAAGGATTTTTCAGAGGACCTTTGCAAGTAATACTGGCTTTTCCTTTCCACCAAATTTTAAGGTTGGTGGGGGGACCGGCCCCTCGCTGAGACGCAGGGGTGCAGATTCTGCAAAATCACACGGAGATAGGGAACAGAATCTCAGCTTCCTGGGTTCTGTACCATTTCCTGTGTAGATTTAAAACTCCAAATGGCTCTCAGAATGTCTTTCCCCAACCACTGTGCAGCGTGAGACCCATCGCTCTTCAGTGTACAGCTGTTTCGTTTTCCTTCCTACCTTCTAGACACAGAATGTCAGGAAAGTACCTCAGGGCACCACACCAGGAAAGGACCAATGACAAGCACAAGCAACACTTTTTCTTGAGATGAGAGTGGCGGCCGTGGCCTGTGCATTCCACGTGCTCAAAGCACAGACAAAGGCACTTCAGTCTGTAAAGTGCATGTTCTGATGTCTCCTGGCCCAGGCTGTGCTGAAGATAGATGCCCCAGAGTGCCTGAGGCTCAGACACAGGATGTTATTTCTGGATGTGCAGGCCGTCTGTGGGCAGTTTGTGAGCAGTAGCAGGTTCCCCATCTTGAGCACAGGGTCTTCCTGGTCCCCCTGCAGGAGAAACTGCAGAGGTGAGGGCCATGTGGAGTGGCCAGTGGGAGGGTAAGAATGTAGGAAGCTGAGGTGCAAACAGGCATTTCTAGCCACAAGGCAGGTGGCTTAGGAGAGCAGCCGGGGTGGCCAGAGTGTGGCTGAACCTTGCGTGGGCACTGACTACTTCCAAACTGTCTTACTGGAGAATTTTCTCACACATTGGTTCCTTGGCCACCCACTGAGTCCCCTAGAGAATCATTTTTCAGTGATCTGTAGTGAAGGATTCTGGGGGCCTTGGTGATGGGCATGGCGCATGGTAGACATCTGAAGAGGGGAGAACCAATATCCCTAAATCATACACACCATTATGTAAACCAGCATGACCTTAACAAAAAATATGGTTTTAAAAAAATACTTAAACACAGAGACGGCTCTCCAGCTGGCGCAGCTGGAAGGCTTGCAGCTCTCTACCCACTCCCCGCCCCTGCCTGCACAACAGCTCATATTGCCTAGGAGGTAAAGAGGGACTGTTTGGCAGCGGTTTGGTGGAGACGGCTAGTCAGATACAGAAGAAACCTGGGACTCAGAAGGCTACAAAGGTCAACGGTATTTTGCCAAAACATGCCTAGAAGAATGAGAAGTTCAACAGAGAATATCAGCCCACCCAGGCACTTCTTGTAGGCACCTCCCAGAGACTAGGACTCAGTGTGTTAATGGAAGAAGCAGAACCCCACAAGAGACCCCTGGCTATTAGTGGCTGAGACTACAGACCCAATTTCACACAGTGGGGGGCCGGAGAAACAGGAGGTCTTGGAACAAAGCACAGCTCAGGACATGTCCCGCAACTGAAGTGTCTGGATGTGTACCCGGCCACAGAGGCTTAGACACCAGGCAGACATATTCACACCACAGCAAGAGTAGTTAGAAATCATGCCCACCAGCAACAGAGGCACAAGAGTATGCAGAACAGAACAAAGCAGGAGGCTGACAGGAAGAAGAAAGACCACAAAGGAACACTGATGCAGAAATCCTAAATAAAGTCCTAGCTAATAGAATCCAACAATGCGTCAAAGAGATAATCCACCTTGACTAATTGGGTTATATTCTGGGGCACAGGGATGCTTCAACATTCGACAATCAATTAATGTAATCCAATACATCAACAAAAAGGGGGAAAAAACCATATGATTATATCAATAGATACAGAGAAAGCATTTGACAAAGTCCAGCATCCATGAAGGCACTTGAAACTCTTGGAATAGAAGGAACATACCTTCACACAATAAAGGCCATATATGACAAACCCATAGCCAATGTCATTCTCAATGGTGAAAAGCTGACATCCTTCTTCTGAAGGTCAGGAATAAGACAAGGATGTCCACTCTCACCACTGCTTTGCAAGAGACCACATGGCTACAGCTCTGGGCCCTGCATTGCACCAAGACTAGAAAGATCACGTTCCTGGTCGACGGCCATGAAAGTCTAAATCCAGAGAGCTGGCTTCCTGATAATCTCATTCCGAGTGTTCTCTGTATGCCCTGATTCTACTACTTCTAGATCCCATTTTTTGCACTTAATTTCTCTGACCCTATTGGGAAATGGAAGAAATGAGACTTTATAGGCTGTGGTTTAAATGGGTGAGCCTCGTTGACTGATATATTGAAAATATAGCAAAAGTATCCTAGTTCAATGACACCTTCTCACTACACACTACCACACCTCTGAACACTCAGGAGTTGAAGTAAGGTGCTTATTCTCCAACATGCTTTATATTCTGCCCAGCCTAGTAAGCAGTTTTCCATGATCAACATGTGGACCATGTTGTCACTAGTCTCCAATTTAGGAAGTATTCAAATTGAATAGCATGTGCTTATTCAATTATGGATAGAAAAATGACTTCAGGACAGACTACTCTCAACCCTATTGACTTACATACTTTAACAGGGCTTTTATGAGCCCTGTAAAATTTCATTTTCTTTTCACAAAAATCTTAACAGAGACGTCAGGTAGCTGAGTTTCCAGCTTTATAGGTGAGAGGACTGGAGCTAGTCATGTTGATGAATCATTACAAAGTCACACAGGAAGGACGAAGGACAGTCCAGCAGGGGCTCAGGGCGAGGCGCTGGGCCACCGCTCTGGACTCAGAGGTTGGGGGAAATAACATCTGAACATCGCCGTGACGCAAACCTAGCTGCCCTGTCAGCTGTCATCAAATTTTAAAACCTTTGTGTACAAATGATCGTTTCTTCCCTCTTACCTCATGGAGTCCAGGTGTGGAAAAAACTTTCTTAAAAGAAGGAAAACACGTAAGAAAGTTTTGTGGTTCTACGGAAGATCATTCTCATTCTTTACTGCATCTGTCAAAGTAATATATAATTTGGATTGATTTTTTTCCTAAGATTTATTTATTTATGCTTACAGAACTGGGGTACAGGCCAGAGGTGTGGTGGGTGAGAGGACTCGCCAGAGACAGAGTGGGGAGCAGAACAGGCAGACTGAGGAAGTCCACTGCTGAGGGGAGCAGCGGGCGGGTCAGGAGAGGTCTGCCGCGCCATGGGTGGCAGCTCCCTGGTGGGGGATGGTGCTGCAGTGGCTTCGGAGAGCTTCATACTGTAGTGCTTTAACCCGTTGTGCCACCAGGGAGAACCCTAATTTGGATTAATTTTAAATGGTTTTACTGTCACTTTGGATTAGTTAGGCAATCACTGTAACACATAAACGCAAAGAAATGGATGACTTAACCACAATACAATTTCATTTTTTTTTCCTTGAGTAAACATCCCACAAGGTTCAGAAGTGAAAGAGTGGGGTTCTGTTTCACATTATCTTCTTGGAAGCAGCCCAGTAGGGGATGGGCTTCCTCAAGGCCAGACTTCCAACACTGTCCCGGGAGAGAAGCGCAGAGAAATACACAATCCAGACAGATCAACACGTCCCAAAGTAGACAAGTAGCGAAGGAGGGAAAGCTGGATGGGGCAGGACAAAGACAGATGCCCACGGGAGACCTCAGCCTCAAACCAGGGTGACGGGGAGGGGTAAATCGCTGACCTCAGCCCATGGGGGGAATCCTGGAGGTCTAAAAGGGGCTCTCACCTTGGGTTGTCAGAGACCCCAAGCTTTGTCATACACTGCTTTTGCTTCTTCTGCAGCCAGAACGCAGGACTTTTCAGGGGTCAGTGAAGACGAGATGCCATCAAGAGCCCTGAGCCACCCACAAAGAAGTGAGCCTGGCCCAGAGGGTAAGGATGGCCTCGCTGGGCTCCTGGGCCTCAGGCACCTGCGCTCAGACGCCTGCTTCCCCTACCTGCTCTAAGCCTTTATCTCGTCGGCCATTTTTAAAAATGCCAAGAGAAAAATCACTGTAAACTCTGGCTAGCATGGTGGCTGTCAATGAATGGGGTGCCTTGGCAATGACAGGTGGTCAGATGCATGGTCCCCAAGACATTTGAGCTGTATGGTGATTTCTACCCTTCCCACTTCCTATTTTGTAGAAAACAGGGAAAGTCAGGTTTTGCCTATATTTGGTTTTGTCATAGTCGCTTGCAAAGCTCAAAAGACTCTGATCAGACTCAATTGACAGAAGGAAAAATTTCTAGATATTACCATCAAATTCAGTTTATACAATAGCTCTGGACAGTGCCCCCATGATGACAGACTTAAGGAAAGAATGCTACTTGATATATCTTTACAAAGTGCTTACAGCAACTTCAAAGGTAGATCACACCTGCTATTCCCCCCCACCCCACAGATGGAGAAAGTCCAGGACATGAACATTTCAGGCTCTTTTACACATCACATGTAGATGTTACCAGAAGAGACAGAACTAAGAGCCTGGGCTCCTGGCAGGCACTCCTAAAGCTCTACCCATAGCCTTTTAGAAACAATGTGGTATAACTCCTGCCTCTTACAAAGTTCTCCAGTAAGGCCTGGGGCAGAATCCCACTTTTCAATATACTGTATTAACATTCTTGAACCTCCGGAGTGAGGTCATAGCACTTGTGACAAAGGCCTTGGCTAACTTGTGGCAGCTCAAATCCATTCACTGCTGTAAACGTATAAAAACAATATTAGCTTCAAAACTTCTTTGATTTGCACTAAAGACAAAAGGTTTGGGGATCTCAGCTCCAAACTGAGCATTCTGTTTCCTTTGGATGAATAAGACAGAAATGATTGTCATAACGTCTTTTAGCCTGAATCTGTCTACAAGGTCAGTAGTCCTAAGACTACTCTTTTGAGTTGTAGATTACAAGTTATGATTCCTTTATCTTCTAGAGCCTGGCAATACTGGAAACAAATTGAGTGTGTATGGGGCAGGGGGCAGGCAGAGAACATTTGACAGAATATAAGAACAATTCCATTTTTTGATGTAGCCTATCTTTTATTTCTACAACAGCTTCATCCAAAGTTTTATCCTATCAGTTAAACACATTTTATTTTCGGGTGCTAGGCACTGCGTATTTTCATGAGCAGGCTGGGCTGATGGTACAACACGGATTTTAAAACTTCAGTGGCACAAGGGTGACAGGAGTTGGTGTTCATTCATCAACTAAGACAAAGTGGTTTTGGGGGATGGCAGGCCCTCTGCTCCCCGAGACTATGGAGGGGAGGGCTGATGGAGCTCTGACATCTTGAAAATATTGCTTCTTCAGGTGACCTGATTGTGAGAGAGAGACCAGGGCCCAAATATGTGCATGCTCAAGTGCAGACGAGAAGAGACGGTAAGAAGGGTTGGGACCAGCGTGTGTGCTCCATGGTGAAGTTGTCCCTGTGTGTGTGTGTGGGGGGGGGTGATTCCTACAGTTTGGCCAGCAGGCCCCATGCAGCCTCAGTAGCAGGTGGGAGGAATCGCATCTCTGCTCCTCCATGAGATTCCCATTTCCAAAACTCTTTTGAAAGAGTTCCCTGTCCATGGTTGCTAGGACACGACTGTGACCATACAGGTATTTTATTTCTCTCCACAGAAATCAGTGGTGGTGATGCTTCAATGTTCATTAAAAAAGAAACTCCAGAAACTTCCAGCTCATTCTTAGCAAGCGTTTCAGGTAAGGGAGATTAGGAGGCAAGCCTTGGTCTGCAAGAGGTTTGGAATCTGAATTCAAAGCTACTGTTTCAGAGACATTTATTCTGGGCAACTTAAAACGATCATGTTCCCAGTTAATCTTGGAAACTGCTTTCAGCATTTTAGAAAATGGAACAAGGTAGAAAATTACTATGAGCTCATGTTTAACAAGACCATTTCCTCCTCAAAATGTGTCACTACATGCTGCTGCTGTAGACAGAATAAATATCAAGACGGTGGTATCTTTTACACACCTCCCCTCGTGCCCAAGAGCACTAAGATTTAGATCTATGATATACTGTTGACACTCATTTCCTTTGTGATTGTAAAAGCACCAAATCAGAAATAACACCAATGCTTTCCAAGATTAATATGGTTTTTGACAGATATCCACCACAATGTATTTGGATCATAGTATGTGATTTCAAAGAACTTCGGCGAATAATATCTTCCTTTGTTGCCCCAAAGTCCTTAAGACTTAGGCAGGCTAACTCTTGTTAGCCTCAGGGAATAAATACCTGGACAAATGCGTGAGGCTCAAAAGGGGGGACTGTTACTGGGAAGAGTCAGGAGCAACAGAATCCCAAAGTCCAAACAGAAGAACAAGGGATCCAGCATCAGTAGATAAATCTGTGCATGTATCTGCGATGAGGTATGTGATTATGGTTAGTCCGTACCTACCTCGGTTAATTCTGCCTTTTAAATGTCTCAAATCTGTCCCTCCAGTCCACACTTAGAGCACGTCTTGCTTGCACTCAAGCTATTGGTTCTCATTCATCCCTCTTCTCCTAGTCTTGCTCCTGCCATTGATCTTCCAAAGACGCTGTCCTCCATGAAGCCCAGTGCCCTGCACTGCCCTTGAGGACAGAGCCCATCCTTGTCCACATGGCCAAAAACCCCGCCTACCTCTTTCTCCACCCTCACCGGTCACTCTTGCACCTGCTCACAAAGGCTCTGCTCCTCTGGTCCTTGCATTCGCTGACTCTGGATCTTGCCCCTGTTTCTCAATCTGTTGTGGTCTATTGTCTTGACCCCCTGGCTCCTTAATCTCCTGACTCCAGCTTCCACAACTCATCTTCTGGAGAGAACCTGATCTCATACAACTTCTCCCTGCCTTGCTGTCCCCCAGAGGAGCCTGCAGGGTCATGCAGCCTTGACTTTTATGCAGTGATGTTCTTCCCATCTCAACACATGCACCTGTTTATATGCGCCTGCCAACTTGCTCATACTAAGCACACATACCAACCTGGGGTAGCTGCGTGCCGTGTGTTACTGCCAGCTCCATCCCAGCACCCGGCACACAAAGGAAGCTTCGGAAGCTTGTTGAGTGTGTGAAAATATTGCTCACTTTCTGTATTCCACTATCTGGAAACTAGTCTGGCAACAGTTTACTTATTACAGTAATTATATGGACTACTTTAGAACAATTATTTTAATAATTGAATTTGACATACACATAGGTATACATACATGCATGCATTACAGGTCCTATTTCCGGTAAAGAATAGTATCACATAAAAGTAAATGCTAGCATTTGTAAAAATGTCGTCATTGTATGGTCGGGTGAAACATGCCAACAAAAAATAGAAAGAAGAAGAAAAGGATACAGATTGAAGGCAAAGAGGAAAAGATAAGTGATATGAAGTAGAGAAAAAGGACAGAGACAGTGAGGAGCAACGCAAGAGGGGTGGACCCACTCTTTGATGTGGGAAGAGGGCAAGGGGCCGCTGGAAGGGAAGGGCAAGATGGAAATCCTTTGCAGACCACAACTATGGGTAAAGCAACAGGGACCTGCAAGTAAGTGCCCTGTGTTGTGTGTTCTCCAAAAGCTGTGCCCAGAGGCCACGAGGCAGGGACCGAAACTAGCCAGGCACCTGACACCACAGGTAAGGCTGCACCGGGCAGGGGGTGGTGGGGTGAGGCCGGGCCCGGAGCGGGGCAGGCGGTGGTGGGCGTGGGGGTGACCCCATGTGGGTCTAAGAAAGCAGAGCCGCGCGCCAGGGAGGGATTCCGCGCCGAGGAGAGGGCCACGGGCCCGCGGTGGGGTGTCAGGATCCTGGCACCAGAGTCCCCGTGTCCCGCCACACAAGCCCTGCGCCCACGTGGACAAGCAGCAGCCAGGTCCATGCCAGCACCCCGTTATCTGCGCCTGGCCTCACCCTGCCAGCAGCCGCAGGGAGGCGGGAGCCCATCACCCGCCGCGAGCCCTGGGCCGGGCGGGGCCTGGATGGTGGCGAAAGGATACTGGGAGTCGGCGTCCTCTCGTCTCCGGTACCAGCGCAGCAGGAGCGACATGTGGGGTTGACAGAGTGACCTCCACCTTTATCCAGGGAACCAAGAGATTCAGCTGTCATGCTAGAGTTACGAGGGTGTCCTTGCTCGCAGCCTTGGGAACCCCTCAAGGACAAGTGGTCCTGGCATCTGTTGGGAAAGGGCGCAGATAGCTCAGCACGCGGGATGTAATTGGTGGGAAAATAACTTCTCACTCACTTTTGCAAATAGGATTTTATTTAATCTTCAAAAAGATGTCAACCTGAACAGAAAAATGCGTGCTCTCCCTGTTGTTTCATAGGTGATGACATTGCTGTATAAGTAATTAAGTTTCTCTGCCTCAGAGAAATAAGACTTTAGATGTCGTCTCAGAGGCGTCTGGTTCCTTCAGAAGGGAGGCAGAGAAATGACACCCAAGTCCGCGGCACTGTGAATTGTGCGTGGGATTGTAGCTTTTGTGTTAAGCGGCTATTCTGTGACCATGACCTGTTACCTTCCAGGTACCTTGAATAAGAGAAGCTCTTCAGCTGTGGATGCCCTCAGAGAGAGAAGTAAGAGCTGACTTGATCTTTAGGTTATAAATGGACTATTTTTAATGCTAAATTTATTTTATTTTCTCTACCCTCCTATGACAGAAAGGGAAAAGTATTCACACACACACACACACACACACACACACACATATATATATATTCTTATTAGGTATATTTAATTTTCCGTTATAATTTCAGAAACTTTTTTTAAATATTGATTTTATTTATTTATGCATACAAGAGCCAGTACAGGCCAGAGGTGCAGGGGGTGAGAAGACTCCCCAGAGACAGAGTGGGGAGCAGAATAGGCGGTTCAACTGAAACACACTGCTGAGGGGACAGAGGGGAGACAAGAGGGGTCTGCTGTGCCATGTGGGTCCCTCCCTGGCTCGCATCTAGCTTGTGCTGCAGTGGCTTCAGACAAGCTTCGTAGTGCTGAGACTTAACCCCTTTCACCACCAGGGAGGCCCAATTTCAGAAAATGCTCAACATCTTTATTAATTTGTATTTTTCTTATTTATACAACAAAGATAATATCGATGTTAGTCACTAGTTGATGTACTTATTCTAAGGATGAAGTCTGTGGGCGTCAGTCTAGGGATAGTTACTTCCACACAAGAAGCACTCAACAGATGGCCAGCTTTCTTGTCTGTCCACGCTGCTCAACATTTATATTGAACAATACAAAGCACTGTGTCCAACTTATACACAATGATCTGGAATAATTAACAAGAAATTTAGGATGAAACTCAGGTAAGCATTATCTCTTAACTAAGTCTAGGTTAGGCGTCGGCAGACTATGACCCAAAGGGCAAACCTATTGCAATGTTGATCTGTTCATGAGCAGCCTTAACGGACCACAGCCACTGTGACACCATTCCACCTATGTGTTGTCTATGTGTGTACCCACAGCGCCGTAACAGCTGAGTGGGCATGACAGAGACCAGGGGCTGTAGAATGTGCCATCTGGTCCGTCCGAGAAAAAGCTCTTTACTCTAGTCTAAGTATTTGACATTTTTCTTGAAATACTAGGCAGGCTTCTGAAAAGGCACACTTGAGTGGTGCTTTTTGTAAAACACTACTTTTTTCAGTGCAGTTTTATAAACAATGTTATGATCATGTATCCTTTTTTTTTTTTTTTTTTTACTTTTTCAGGGCAAAGAACAGTTGACACTGGGTCTTTGAAAAGAGAAAGAAGAAAAAAAGGTAAAAAGTAATTAATATGGTTAAAAAACAAAACTAGAGATCTAACTGGCTGTTTTTCAGTGATTCATGAGTTACTCAATGTCCCATCTAGCAAGTAAAAAGTCACGGCAAAAAGAAAAATACCGGATGGTTTCACTTAGAGGACGAATGTAGGGGACCAGAGTAGAGAGCAGGGGAAAAATAATAGTAAATTTAAAAACAAACTGAGCAAGCAAGTACTAATCAGAGACACTGCAGGGGAGGGTGGGAAAGGGATCGAAACAGGGGAGGGAACATGTTCTCACGCAAGATGGTGATGGCGCAGGGGAACTGGGTGGGATTTCTACGGAGACTATATCTGAGAGGAGAAAGCGAGCATGCATAGGGAGAAAGGACGCTGTGAAATATATATAAAATAAAATGACTTTTTAAAAACATTATACCAAATGCAAGGATTTTCTATCAGAAAGGGGGTAGGATGATTTTATTAGCAAAAGAAAAGAAAGATTATTTCAA